ATTATTTACTATTGATTATACTCCTTTTACTAATTATTATTATTATGTTTATCAAAGGACCGGAAATTATTTTGTATCCTGAAGAAAAATATATATATCAACAATTATTTCAAATAGCTGATGAAGAGAAAAAAGGTTATATTGATGGAACACATGCTGCGAATTTTTTGAAAAAATCAAATTTATCTTCGGCTGCTTTGAGTAAAGTAAGCAAATATTTAGTTTTTATTACCACGACGAAAAATAATTTTAATAATAATTATATTTGATTGATATAGATATGGAATTTAGCTGATTATGAGAATCAAGGCGTTTTAACAACACAAACTTTTATTATTGTTGTTAAATTAATTGCTTTGGTTCAAAATGGTCAAAATCCTGATATGGCTCTGTTAAAAGCTAGTATGTTTTTTTGTGTATTCTTCAAGAATTTTTTAGTTTATGAATATTTTTTAAAAAAGTTTTTCTTTAGAGGTACCATTACCACGTTTTGAGGATATTAACATAGAAACAGCCTATATTATTACTGATGATAATCGTGAAAGTTACAAAAAAACATTCTTAATATTGAAGCATGAAGATGACCTTGTGGATGGTAATTTAAATTAATAAATAAATGAATATTTTATATATAGGTTATATATTATATTACGCAATTATTATTTTTAGTAAACATTTTTTTTTAAAGGTGACAAGGCAAGAGAAATTTTTTTGCAATCTAAATTATCATCAGAAACACTCTTTCAAATTTGGTAATAGATAATAAATAGATAATCTATTTATTTATTAAAAATTTTTTTTTGGTTGATGCAATATTTATAATTAAATTATCTAGGAAACTAGCAGACACAAAAAATAGAGGAAGACTTGATGTAAATGAATTTATCATTGCAATGCATCTAATAAAACAGTATATGTCCAAAAATATCAAAGAAATACCACAAACTCTTCCAAGTGGATTTTATGAAATGGCTGCCGGCGTTAATCTTGATGTACTTGCATCATCAACATCACCATCACTTTTTTCTGGAAATTCATTAACTTCTTCTTTAAATCCAGATGGATTTAATACAAAATCTCCATTTATAGAACATCCATGGGATGTGACACTCGAAGAAAAAACAAAATATGATAAAATTTTTGATTCTATTGATCAAATGAAACATGGATTTTTAACAGGTTAATAACAATTTTTTTTTTTTTGATTTATATATAATTTTTTCTTTAAATTTAGATTTTAAATTGGTATAGGTGACGAGGCAGCAAAAATTTTTGTGAAATCAAATTTGGATCAAAACACATTGGCAATGATATGGTTGTAGTTCGTTTAGTATTTCTTTAAAAAAAAAATATATATATATTTTTTTGTAAATAATATATTTATATTTGTACTTTTTTTTTTTAGGAACCTTTCTGACATAGATAAAACTGGACGTCTTAATCACGAGAAATTTGCTGTTGCTATGCATTTGATCCAAAAAAAGGCTAAAGGATTTCCATTACCAAACATTTTGCCAACAAGTCTTACTCCACCATCAATGCGTCATACTACTGGTAAAATTTTCCTAAATAAAAATCATCTGAAAATAAAATCATCATCATTAACATTTATATATATATATATATAATAATGTATCAATCTAAATTTTAAAACAATCGATACAAAACAGCTAGTCATTTTTTTGATTTAGAGGGATCTTCAACTCTTGGTCATATTTCAAAAAAAGATATTGGATCAACTTCTTCATCGATCTCACGTTATTCAACAGAAGACTTCTTTGGTTTAAATGATCCTACAGACTCGCAAAATAATTTTATTTCAGATAGTCGTGTTATTAAAGGTATATTATAAATATTTAAATTTGTTATAATTATCATTATAATATTCATATAAAATTTTAATAAAAAGTATTTTGATTTTTTTGGGGGGAATGATTCACAGAACCACAAATGATTGATTTTTTTGGCGACTCTGATTTACATACTAAAATTGCAAGTGAAAGTAGTGAAATAAAAAGTTATGGAACCCAAATTAATATTCTTGGCAATTCAAGTGATGAACTAGAAAACAAAAAAGCCAGTTTAAATTCAACTCTTGCTGATTTAGTAATACAAAAACAAGAAATAAAAGATCTTTTCTTACAAACACGCTCTTTGTATGAAGCTGAATTTAAGGCAGTAGAAGAAATTCAAATCCAATATCAATTGGAAAATGAAAATTTTGAGAGAGTTAAAGAAGAGCATGCACAAGCTAAAAGAGCTTTAGCTGCTATAAGATTGCAAAAGGAACAATTAGAAGAAAATATTCAAAAAGATAAAGATGAAATAAATGAATTGAGAAAGGAATTGAGAATAATCGAAGAAGAAACAGTATCAATTAACGCCAAAGTTAAAGACTTTCAAAAAGACAGTGCACAACAAAAAGGTTTACTTATGATTAATAAAAAACAATTGGAAACCTCCAAAGCTGAAAGAGAAAAGTCATTGGAGGTCTTAAAAACTTTTGAAAAAAGTAACAATCTACCTGATATAAACAAGGATGCTTTCGTTTCTACACCATTAACGACAACGTCATCAAATCATAATTCCTTTAATGTTTCTCAATCAATGTTTAATGAACCAGGAAAAAGTTCAGCTGATTTTTTTAATGGGCAAGGCGAAAATAAACTCCAACCAACTCACATTAAAAATAGCACAACTTCGACCATCGATCCATTTGATTTTGACAATTTTAAAAATGCAACATCAGACAAATCAGGTCTTGATTCTGCGTTCGCAACGCTTGAAGTTACAAATAAGAATAATGGTGATGATTCATTCTTAACTGACACCTTTAATTCCGAGAAATTTCCTTCTTTAGAGGAACTTGAAGGTTTAACACCTGGTAATAATTTTAATTTTGAAAAAGAAAACAAGACAAATCATTTTGACACAACCAAGCCAGATGAAAAGATTACTTCTCCATATATGAATGAAGATAAAGTCGAAAATACACTTAAAAACAAGCCAATTGATTTATTAAAAGGATTGATGAAACCTTCGACTAATACCAAAGATGCTCGTTCATCAGAAAATTTCGATTCTATTTTTACCAATAATTATAACAATAACAATAACAATAACAATAACAATAATGATAATTATAATTATAATACATTTAACACATCATCATCATCATCAACATTTAATACGTCGTCATCATCATCATCATCAAGAACATTTAATACATCGTCATCATCATCATCATCAACATTTGGTTTATTTGGCTCAGATAATGATATTTCATTTTTTGATCCTTTAGCTTCAAAGAATATTAATAAACCAATAAATACGAATAATGCAATTTTTGATTCTGCATTCGGAAGTACTTTTGAAAATGCATTTTTTCAAGGAAATTTCAAATCTCCTATACCTACTGCCACCACCATTAATAATGATAATGACGATGATATAGATTATGTAAAAACTTTAAAAGAGATGGGTTTTCCAAGAGAAAATGCTATAAAAGCACTTGAAGATAATGATTATGACTTGAACAAAGCAATATTTGCTTTATCTAACGTTTAAATCAGAGCCATTGTATTGAAATTTTAATTTTCAAATTAATAAATTTGTAATGTATATTTTATTTAATAGCATCAAAATTTTCCCTTTTAATTTTACAATCAACTTTGGTTTTCCGCCAATTTTTTGGGGCACAGATAATACTAAGGTATCATCCCTCAGTCGAAGTAATAATAGAAATAGTATTAAATAGATGGAAGTAGATGTTATTTATTGTTTATTATCAAAATCCAATTAATGAATAACCCGATTAAAATTGTTGGCCAGAAATTGATTGCATGATTACATGGCTTCGGATATTTCGGAAATTTTAATATTTGGCGAAGTTAGTTTCAGATTTGGGATTGGGAAAAATAGTTGTATTTCTCCCGAAACCTTAGCTCCTGAACCTATTCGAATATTATTTTGAATGCTCATTTTCGAATATAATTATTTCAAATACTTTCAAATTATAAAGAAAAAAATTATTTCATAATAATTTCGAAATGAATTCAACATATTAATATGATCGACATGGTCAAATTTTGTTCACGTGATTCACGTAAGTAGACCATGAGAAGTTCATTCATTTTATAAAAATAAAAACTAAAGTTTTCATAAAATTTAAACTTCCTTGGGCGTTATTACGAACATTCGTGTCTTCGCTTTGTAATAGTCTCAAAAAAGTTGCTCGTTATGGGTTCATTCAACCAAAACTGGATACCATTTAATCAAACTTTTCCTGTAAATAATATGTATGGCTATAAAGTCGAGGTTTAGTTACTATATATGCCTTTAAAACCTTATTTTTTTTTATATAGAATTTAAAATATTGAAAATCTTTGGACAATTATTATTATTATAATGATAATCTCCAGTTATTTATAGGGATGGGAATGGTTCGGTTTATAAACCGCCAGTTTGGCTAGTGAACCGCACCGACTGGCGGTTTACCACTGCGGTTTGAACCGCGGTTCAAACCCAAGTTTAACCGCAGTTTTATAATTTTATTGGTAGGGATGGGAATGGTGCGGTTTGGTTCAGTTTAGTTTATAAACTGCCAGTTTGACTAGTGATTGACAGTTTACTGATCACGGTTTTATAATTTTATTGGCCAAGTTAAATTTAAGAATTTTATTTTTATAATTTTATTGATCAAGTTAAATTTAAGAATTTTATTTTTATAATAAAATGAAAAAAATTATTTTTTTAAAAAAAACAAATTAATTTGTTCCAATAATCAAACCACTTTTAAACATCATTACTATCTTCTTCATCAGAAAGTTCATATTCTTGTCCAATTTTTTCAGAAGTCCAGCTTTTTAAGCATAACAAGCCTCGTGATGTTTCAGGATCTAGGCGATTCCTTAATTTAGATATTGTCAATCCTGCAACAGAAAAGGATTGTTCACATGGAACTGAGGTAGATTGTATTGCCAAGTAATCTTTTGCTAATTCAGATAGAGATGGAAAAGTTTCTTTATGTGTACACCACCACATGAGGGGATTGCATTCATTTTCTTTCGCTAATAATAAATATTTTTCTACTTCATCATTTGTATGAGTATTATTTGTAGGAAGGAACTGACTAGCTAAACTTCTTATATGTGCACGTGCATCAATTCTATTTTTAATTATTTGTGATGGTGATGTTTGGTTATTGGTGGTGATAGTTGATGCATTATTGTTATTAATGTTAAGACTTGAGTTGTAATGAATTAATTTACGTTTTATTGCAGTTACTGTTCTTGTAATTTCATCAGTTGTAAAAATTGAGTTTGCTACTATATATTGTGTATTGCCAACTTCTATCTGTTTATGTAGGTTTTTCACTAGTGTCCACAGTGTAAAATGAAATTCTCCAATTGTAGAATAATTGGATGATGAAAGCAGTAATGTTGCTGAATAAAATGGTGATAAAACATCAATCAACTCCTTTAAATAAAAATAGAGCAATTTTTTATTTTAACATATGTCCTAATATTAATAAATCTAAATGTTTTGTAATTAAATTAACACCTACATTTATTTTAAGCCAGTCATTTTCATCAGGATTGAGATGATTTAATATATGGAGACTGGACCAACAAAACATGGTTCTGGGCTCCTTGACTCAAAATTGAGCTTTTTGTATCAAATTAATCAGCAATTCAAGGATTATATTTTGGTACAATTTTTGATGTGTAAAAGTATAATACAGAAACATATAAAATGAGATTGAATCTTTTTATATTTTTAGGTGACCAAATTTAAAAATAAATGATCAGCAAAGAAATTTCTTAAAATGTAAAATTTTAAAATTTATTTTTAAGGTTTAGAAAAATGAACGTTTTTGAAAGGATCCTCAACAATTGACCACAGTTTCAATATCATTGATTGTGTTAATAGAAGTATATTTATATTTTTTTTTAATATTCCCAAAGAAACCATCACAATGAAATTTGGTATGTCCAGGAATCATAAAATTTACACTAATTTCTTTGTAACAACCTATCATTATTAGCCAAGTCCAGAACCAAAGAGATAAGTTATTTTTATTTTGACCACCACAATTATCACATGTTATTTGTAATTTGTCTATTCCTCCACATGCTAATCTATTTAGCGAATGATAAACCATGTTCAAAGTAGAATTTGAACCCTTTGTAGTTCCTTGAGGCAACTCATCTTCACCAATAAGATAATTTAATTGGATATTATTTCCATGGTCAGTTCTACATACACCAAATAAATACACTTTATATCCAGCTTTAAAATACATGGAACCTGGTTGTTGTGGTAAATGTGGAATAGATATATTTTGGGCCCAATCATAAAGAATATTTGAAACATTACCATACTTATCACCTTTCTCAATGTTTTTAATAAAATAATCTCTTTCACATTTAGCCAAACTTGTATGTTCTTCATATTTCTTTTTAATCTCTTCAAAATCTGCTTCATTTGATTTGGATTTTAGTTGAGCTTTAAAATCTGTACATGCATCACACATGTCAGTTGCTAGTGATTGGAATTTTAAATGTGGCATTAACTGTTTCCAAATTCTGCAAAAACTTTTTAAGGAGATAACTTCATTGTCAAATTCATTTAAATAATTTTCTCTATATTTTTGGTAAACTGAGGTGTATGTTGTATTAGTAGGTAGATAAATGAAAACTTCTGAATCTTTACGGCTTCACATTGGTGAAGGGAGTCCATTTAATGTTGCATAATTTTCTAAAAAATTTTTAACTGAGATTGAAATTTCCTCAGTTATTGTACTTTAGAATTCCATTCAGGCCTACGACCTGTGTTTCCATGAATGCATTCATCAAGTCCAAATTTTTTATAGTGATCTTTTATGTTATCAAAAACCTCTTTTTTAATTCCACATAATTTCATAAAAACAGTTTGGCATATTTTTATTGAACCATTGAAATTATAACGATACCTAGTTATTTTTTTTGTAGAATTACCATCATTACTCCTTCCTGAAAGATCCCAATCATCAATTGAGTTTTAATAAACAAATCCATTTCTTTTTTATCTAAAGCTTTTAAATGAATCAAACGCTTA